ACTTTCAATTGTTCTGAATACGTTTTAAAAATTAGAACAAAGCACCTGAATCAAAATAGGATACTCGCTGTTTATGTGTTTATTAGAGAAAGCTGCATGTGTGTGTGTGCGCGCGCGCGTGTGCCGCGCATGCGTTCCACGCTCTGACACTTGGGTCGGCTTTAAGAAGCCACGGCAGCAGCCACGAGTCACTCCGCACCGTGTTCCCCTCTGAAGCACCAAGGGAGGACCGGCTCTGCACAGCCCCTCTGGCACTGGTTCTGCTGGGGCGCACAGAGGGGCAGTGCCATGCGCACTCCTGCAGACGCGCTGCTCCTGGGCGCACAGAACCACACTGGGGTCTGCAGTCTCCCGCACGAGCAGATGGGGACCCCTGGTAACAGCACCGTTTACCCAAACGGATCCGACCCGTTCGCCAGAAACGAGGAGATCGCCCAAATCGAGATTCTGGTGTTGAGTATCACGTTTGTGGTGGCCGTGGTGGGGAACGTCAGCGTCCTGTTGGCCATGTACAACACCAAGAAGAAGATGTCGCGGATGCACCTTTTCATCAGACACCTCAGCCTTGCGGACCTGGTTGTCGCTTTCTTCCAGGTGCTGCCGCAGCTCTGCTGGGAGATCACTTTCCGCTTCTACGGTCCGGACTTCCTCTGCAGGATCGTGAAGCACCTCCAGGTGATGGGGATGTTCGCCTCCACCTACATGATGGTGATGATGACCCTGGACCGCTACATCGCCATCTGCCACCCGCTGAAAACCCTGCAGCAGCCCACCAAGCGCTCCTACATCATGATCGTGTCCACGTGGATGGGCAGCCTGGTGCTCAGCACCCCGCAGTACTTCATCTTCTCCCTGAGCGAGATCAAGAACGGCTCGGACGTGTACGACTGCTGGGCGCACTTCATCGAGCCCTGGGGCGCACGGGCGTACATCACCTGGATCACCGTGGGCATCTTCCTCTTGCCCGTGGTCATCCTCGCGCTGTGCTACGGCTTCATCTGCCACAGCATTTGGAAAAACATCAAATACAAGAAGAGGAAAACGTCGGCCGGGGCTGCGAGCAAGAACGGGCTGATCGGGAAGAGCTCGGTGAGCAGCATCACAACCATCTCCAGAGCCAAGCTCCGGACCGTCAAGATGACTTTTGTCATTGTCCTGGCGTACATTGTTTGCTGGGCGCCGTTCTTCACCGTGCAGATGTGGTCTGTGTGGGACAAAAACTCCCAGTGGATTGGTGAGTTCTGCGCAAACAGCTCAGTCATTTTCTTTAGAAGAAAGAAATGCGTAATCATGACAGAAAAATCCAAATGCGCACAGCTTTTACGCACGAACTAAATGAGGAGGAATTAAATGAAAGAGATTGAATATTTTATGTTCCACAAGTGTTTTGTTGCAGTAAAAAGTAACTTGTTAATAATCTCCATAAAATATTTTGTTTTTATTTTATTTAAAATAACAGAGGACTGATTAATGTCAACTGTATAGTTGTATTATTATTACTTGGGGATTGTCCTGCAAGCAGATTACTTCACTAGAATAAAAAAATAAATGCTTTAATTAAAGCTTTAAACTATGTTTGCTCACTAAAATATGTTTCTGTGCATTTCCTCTGCCAAATTGTCAAGTTTTCGTTTAAGAAAGCAGACACTCAGATTTAATGTTCCATTAAGTTTGCTCCAAAAAAAGTGCTTCTGTGCATTTTCTACAATGTGCGTAGACAGATTTTATTTCCCACTTTTTCCCCACAAAGCCCAACACTTTAAGCAGCAGCTTTACCAGTTACAAAGGCACTTCTGCAATTTTTGCCCACACCAGATGTTTTGCAAATTAATCACTCCTCTCCCCTCCTTCCTCTGTGCCTCCCCTTCTCTGTTCCTCAGATTCTGAGAACACAGCAGTGACTCTGTCTGCACTCCTTGCCAGTCTCAACAGCTGCTGCAACCCTTGGATTTACATGATCTTCAGTGGCCACCTCCTGCAGGATTTTGTGCACTGCTTCTCCTGCTGTGGCAAGCTGAATGCCGAATACAAGAAGGAGGACTCAGACAGCAGCGTCCGCAGGACCACACTGCTGACCAGGATGACCAATCGGAGTCCTACGGACAGCACGGGTAACTGGCAAGAGCTGGAGAACTCTCCAAAAACCTCCACCCAGGCAGAGTAAACAGGGAGTCAGAGTACATCTTTTAACATGCCTAATAGGAAATAAAATGCCCCCAAAACAAACAAACTCTGATGACACAGACTTAAGAAAAGTGTCAGTTAGAAATCTGTCACAGAAAATAAAATGTAAATTCATTGTACAAATTTTTGACTGGATTCAATCAAGGTATCAAAAATAATAGGAAGGATTGTTCAAAGAAAGAGTTTGTCAGGCCTGCAGCATGTTCAGGGGCAGTTCAGGCACACCTCAGGAGTTTGCAGGAATCGATGGTGTTGTGGGCATCTGTGCTGTCTGAGTGTTGACATGACCGAAACACCAGACACCAACAAGGCAAAGACCTCATCTTTTGTGTTTGCTTTTCTAGTTTGAGGATTTTTCTTAGAACCACAATTCAGTTGTTAATGTCAAAAAAATAATAATTAAAAATCAAAGAACTTATTGGTGGTTATTAGAGTACTTTTTAAAAAGTATGATAATAAATACAAATAATAAACATTCTATTTTCAGGTAGTGCTTTACAATAACTACACCTTATTTAGCCTTACGTGATCATTAATACATATCTAGAAACATAGAAAACATTATTTTTTAATGATGATTCATACTTAATAAGCTATAAATTAACACATTAATTATTTAAAAGACAACGCTGGAATTGATTATAATTTTGATCCGAGTTCCACAAGTGAAAAGGAACATGTAGCCCTTCAGGGTTTTTTTTTCTACATTAATAAATACAAAAAAAAGTATAGTTTTTACTTTAGAAGAGTTCATAAAAACACTTAACTAACTACGAGCAACTGCTGTGGTTATTGCTGCACTGCAGGGTTAGTAGATAGTTCAAGTTAAGAATCAACAATCATTCAAACACAACATCAAGATGTAACGCAGAACAAAATTTGCAGTTTCTCTGTGTTCTCTAACCATTAATACATATCTAACACATGATGTGAAAGTATATTTATATGAGCATTTACACACATATACACAGTATATAGAAAATTTCACGAGTTATTAAACATGAATTAACAATGAGTATGCTGGTTTTGAAAGTAATTAGCCTTTATAGGCAAAACATTATTTAATGTCTTCGTTTATAGCAGGAGTGGGCAATCCTGGTCCTGGAGGGCTGCAGCCCTGCATGTTTTATTTTTTTCTCTGCTCCAACACACCTGATTTGAATGAATGGGTGATTATCAGGCTTCTGCAGTACGGAGGACCAAAACTGACATAATTAAAAATAAAAGCAGAAATATATAAATGGACCAATAAATAAATTCAATTAAAAAATATGCCAATTAAATTTAAAAAGGAGAGCTTTATCTCATGTTTTGTAATTTAATTTGACCTTCATATTTATTTTTCCAACTTAGTTCCAACTAATAATATATTTTTGCACATTG